ACCAGTAGGGCTCAAGAAATGGAGGAGGCAGGAGCAGTAGGCAATTACCGCAAACTCTTCCACCTAATCCGCACCACTGGTCCTAGGAAACCAGACGTCAGTGAGACGAGCAAAGACAGCGTGGGTGCGCTGATACACAATAAGGCTTAACTCCGAACGGACTGACAACGGCGAGCGTCTGCTGCGACTATGTGCGGAGCAGCAGTTGTTTCTTAGTAGCATTGCTTTTAGACACAGTGGGCGCCGAAGTGCCACTTGGCGTCCTCCTGTAGCTGGCCAGCGATGGACCCAAATTGATCACATGGCTATAAGTTACAGACGGCGTGATTCCATCCTGGATTGCCGCTCGTACTGGAGTACCTGTGTAAACTTGTGGCACTATCACTGGTCACCGCACCATTCACTGGATATCTGAGAAGTCAGTGAACATTATGGAGTCTAGAAGAAAGCTTCCCTCTGGCTCTGAGCACAATGTGACCAGACGGACTATTAGGCGCGAACTAAAGCGGAGCCTACGTGCTGACAAGGAAGCCTGGTGGACCAGTAGGGCTTAAGAAATGGAGGAGGAAGGAGCAGTAGTCAATTACCGTAAGCTCTTCCAGCTGATCCGCACCACTGGTCCCAGGAAACCAGGCGTCAGTGAGACAATCAGAGACCGCGCGAGTGCATTGATACACAATAAGGAGCGCGATATGGCTCGTTGGGCTGAACACTTTGAAGATCAGTTCAGCTGGCCCCCTTCTCCCGGACCTCCCCCTATTATTCAGGTGGTGTAGGATGAGCCATGGACGGTTAGTTTAATGGCTCCATCGGTGGCCGAGGTCCGAAACGCGATCACAGCCCTCAATGGTTTTCATGCTGTTGGCCCGGATTCCCTCCCACATGCACTATTTAAGGATGGAGGTGAGGTCCTCTGCAAAGCACTGACCTCCCTATTTGAACGTATCTGGAAGGAAGAGTGTCCTGACTGATTGGAACGAATCGATTATAGTGTCAATATACAAGAAGAGCAGTCGCACAGACTGTTCTAACCACAGGGGTATTAGCCTAATGCCAGTTGTGACAAAATTGCTAGCGTCGATTATCGTTCGTCGCCTCACTGTGGAACGGGAATCTCGGATTAGGGAAGGGCATGCCGGTTTCGGCCTAGGGCGTTGCTGTATAAGTCATATATTCATTTTGCTGCATGTGCTAGAGCAGCGCCACGCATACTGCAGGCCGACAATGGCTGTGTTCCTTGATTTCAAGAGTGCGTTCGATTCCGTCGATCGATCGATTCTATTCGAAATACTTGCGGGGAAGGTGTTCCCACGAAATATGTGAACATCCTGTGTGCTCTATACTCGAACACTACAGGCCGCGTCAGGGTCTACAGTTGCCTGTCGGATAGCTTTCCGACCACAAGCGGTGTTCGTCAGGGTTGTCCGATTTCCCCATTTCTGTTCAATTTCGTCGTGGATTCTATCATGGAGTGTTCCCTTGCGGCATCTTACGATGTAGGCTTTGAATTGCTGTCTGGTGAAAGATTAGTTGATCTTGATTATGCAGAGGATATCGTTTTGCTTTTCGACGACGTTGCGGCGGCACAATCTACTCTGTATAGCCTGTCTAGAGTGGTCCCATTATTTGGTATGCGCTCCGCACCTTCAAAGTGCAAAGTGTTGCTGCAGGACCACCAGCCACTTGATGACCCCTTGACACCTGCTAACGATGAACTCGAGGTGGTTGATCAGTTCGCTTATCTTAGCAGATGCATCAGCAACGGTGGGTGTATAGAATCTGACGTCAGCTCACGCATTTCAAAAGCCAGAGCTGCCTTGAATCTGCGGCATCTTTGGCGACAGAAGGGAGTTTCCCTCCGTCTGAATGGCCGTGTATACAAGGCCACAGTGAGGGCCGTTCTGCTGTATGGTAGTGAGACTTGGCCTCTTCGGTCTGAAGATCTGAGGTGCTTTCAAGTGTTTGATCATTGTTGTCTGCGAAGCATTGCTGTTGTCGGATGGCACCAGCGTGTCTGCAACGATGATTTTCGTAGGCGAGTACTAGGTATTGGTAAACATGTTGGCTCCCTCGAACAACAGATAGCACTGAATAAGTTGCGTTGGCTCGAGCCCGTGCTACGTATGCCTGGTCACCGCTTGCCTAGGAGGACCTTGTTTTGTCCACCGGGTGTAGAGTGGCAATATCTCGAGGTGGACAGAAGTTGACTTGGCAGCGGGAACTGAAGATCCTGACGACCAAACTGGGTGCCGTTGGTCCGTCTCGTCTTTCGGGCTGAAGTCCACTTGACTCGCCTTGTGCGTGGCTCGAGACTTTACAGGACATGGCTCGCAACCGACACCAGTGGCGCGTCTGCTGCCGTCTCCTAATCGGATTGCCTATTTAAAGTGTGTTCGGTTTGAGTTATCTGCGAGGTAATGACTGCTTATGTCGCGGTGCAATGAAAGCCGCAAGGAAGCTGTCTCGCCGATGCCGCCTTATTTCTGCACGATAGCCAGCTGTTTATGACGGTATGTTGTTAACGCTAGGTGCATGTTTGCTTAGGGCATTAAGGTTTTCATGTAAATCCCCCTTCTCTTTTTCTTTTTATTAATTATTTCGTAGGTCCTCTTAGTTGTATGGCAACGCAGCAGTTCAAATGGCTGATGTACTGCTGTTTGTGATGGCGATGATGACCAAGCACTCATGATTGGAGTTGCCTGCAGCACTCCCTCTGGTTCATGCTGTCATCTCGTCTACTGAATCAGAACCATTAGCATAGGTAGAAACTGTCTGCTAATGAGTAACTTCAATACACCCATTTTCAGTTTGAACCTTTTTCATTGCGTCCTTCCGCAAGATTCCTTCGAGGGGGGCTTTTCCATGCTGTTCACTATCGCGATCTAATTCTGCACATCTCTACTCCAACTCGGATGCTCCCGGACCAGACATCAAACATCCTTGATCTGGTTTTCACTCCGATGCTTACTGATGTCTGTGCCTTGGAGACCCTCCAACCCTTCGGCTGAAGCGACCACTCAGTAGTCTCCTTGTGCACACGACGTCTTACCATCACTGACCGCGGATCATATCGCCGTTACTTTTGACGTACAGATCCATCCAGATTACACGCTGTGGCAAGCTCGGAAGATTGGAGTATCCCACAATCCCTGAGTGTCTAGGAAGCATGGAACCTACTGTCGACTAAGATGACGTCCACCATCGAAAATGCCGTCCCGATGTACAAAGACAGACCATTCCACAAAGGACCTCTTGGGTCGACCGAGAACTGAAGTCCTTACTGAACAGACTGAACTCTGGACCTTATTCAAGAGAACACGACTAGCCTCGGATTACCTAAAGTTCAATGATGTTCGAAACTTGTGCACCCTGAAATGCGGCAGAAGCGAGCTCAATACGAACAGTAACTGGCTGTTCAATCCCGAACGTGCCCGAAGATGCTTTTCTCAGACATAAGGCGAAACACCAAAGCAGGCGTTGGTATCCTTTCTTTATCTGCCCCTGGAGAAAGCACTGTGCTACATCACGATGATGAGAAAGCCAATCTGCTGGCCTCGCAGTACTCAGCTATCTACTCGGTAGAGCCACCGTTACCGAAGAACGACGTGCTCACGTGCTCCCCAACTCTGGAGCAAGGTGAAGTTACCGTCGAGATGGTTATGCGACTAATCCGTGAGTTAAACCCTGACTCCGCACCAGGTTCTGACGGACCACACCCACTATTCCCCAAGATGTTGGCCGAGTACATCGCTGACCCAATATCCCAAGTATTTCGGCTCTCACTTTCAGATGGCCGCTTACCTAGCGCTTGGAAAGTATGAATAGTAATGTATAAATACAAAGGTGACCGGCAGGACCCTGCGAACTACCGACCGATATGTCTGACATCTGTTGTCTGCAAAATCATGGAGAGCATAATCAAGAGCGCTCTCAACGCTCACTGGGAAGGCTTATGCGCAATTTCTCCCTCACGGCACGAATTCCGCAGGGCACGATCCTGCATCACTAACCTGCTTACTGCCAGAGAAGCAAGGCTTAAAGCAACGGACGAGAGGAAACACCTTGTTGTCGTCTTCATTGACTTCAGTAAGGCATCTGACAAACTCCAGGGAGTTGGTGTCACCGGAAACCTCGTCCTTAATTTCAAACTTCATGGAAGGATTAACCATTCAAGTGAAGGTGAACCAAACACTGTCCCTGTGCTTATGACCAATGGGGTTCCCCAAGGCTCCGTCCTTGGACCAGAGCTCTTTAAACTGTACATCAGCGATCTTCCAGCGACACTTCAAACCGACTGTGTAGTCTACGCTGATGACCTCAAACTATGGTCTGAAATATATTGCCCCGAGTATGCCGACAGAATCTAGCTTCACTTGACCCGCTGCATAACCGGTCCGTTGAGTGGCGGCTGCCTATAAACAGTGACAAATGTGGCGTTCTCCCGATTGGTGGCCCGGATCCTTTCGGTGCGTATCATATCGGAGGATATCTCAAGTCTGTCGCTCATGAAAAGGACCTGGGAGTCATCGTCTCGCACGATCTCAAGATATCACTTGACACGTAGAAGGTCGCGGCAATCAACCGAATGCTCTGGGTTTTGCGAAGATCACTCTAAAATTTATCATTTATCATCAACGAATCCTTTTTTGACTCGCATCTGCTAAGCTTTTTACCCCTGTTCGCTACTGAAATCGTCCTAGTTGACTTTCAGTCTGCTGTTTTTTGCATTAATTCACCGCAACTTCCAATAGCATACTTGATTGGGTGTCTGTTCCACCATATCGTACTTGTTGCATCTGTTTTAAGACATGGTTTCGAACTCCCCTCACTTTTGCTGGACCCCATAATATTACAGGACTTGAAATTCGCTGTTTGAAGGGGCATACTTATTACTTCTCGTAGGATGCACTTTTCGGGACTCTAATCTCTTTTTCTTTTACTCATCTGTGTAGCTATTCATGTTCCTTTTTAACACCCTAGAATTTTTTCGCGTTGTGCAGCAGGTCACTTTGCCTTTCAGATGTCCACCTTAGCAGAACAGCTCCCTGGTACTCAAGCGGATGGATCTCCTGCTGAAGATAGTTCTGGTATATGCAGATCCCTTGCTTTCCTTACTACGGGCACTGCAGTTAGCGCGAAATACCGGGGAGCTTACTGCGAGGCTACAGTAGATCAAGTTGATCTGAGATTTCGTTTGCGCGTTCAGTTGAAAGGGGAAAAGGTGAGTTGGATAGGTTAAGACGCACCGCTAAATTTCATTTATTCACCCGGCCTAATTTTCCTTTTTCATGCTATCATCGAAGCACTAAAGTACGATGGTTCTGTTCCCACTTATCTTATAACCTTTACTTCTAACGGTTATGCTGGTGAAGAAACGCAAGCAGTAACCTACAGACCTGAAAACACATACAAAATGTACTTGGAAAAAAGAGCGGAAATATGGAGATTTTTGTGATTCACTGCAAATCACAAGGGACCAGATGTAGCATCGCCACTGATTTCTTGCTTGAGCTATTTCTCTTATAGGATCCAAACAGGCTAGCTCATGCCCACTCCCTATATACCACTTCCTTTGTGTCCAGTTTACATGTCCTAATATCGTACTAGGTCTGCTTTAGCATACGATTTTTGCGAATGTTCTAAATGTGTTGCCTACTATTGCCTCGCCCACCAGAATGTTTTCACAGTGGATCAAAATGGTTTGATGTCCGGAGAACCCAATCCAGGCTCTGAAGTCATTGTCAAAGTCCCACTTTCCGGAACCGTACGGCATCCGGGATCCGCTTCTACGCTTGTAGAACGTACCGCAACCGTCCTGCGAGCTTATGACACGAGCTTATATACAGTTGGTAGGTGTGTGTTCTGGTCTTAACAGCTTTTCCTAATGCGTCATGCTAATCCCACTGTGTCGTGGAGTGCATTAGGCGCTTTCGTCTGTTTCTTATTTTCCGTTTCGTATTTTCCTCCAGTCCAGGTAAGGCACAACGAAATCTCCATATGGCTCGAATAGGCATAGTAATATAGCTCAGGTTTTACTGTGTTTAAACTTATGGATTCATTGCCAGATTTCGGAAATACTTCTTCTGTTAGCCATTCGTGTTCCTCGATTAATAGCACAGTGTAATCTGGTCCCATCGGCTGTAGTTATAGATGCTGTCTGGTGGGCTAGAGCAGGAAACGCCTGATCCGTTTCTTTTTCAGATGAATGGGTCCATCTGTCCTTGTGGGATTTCCGGTTCTTAATTCTCTTACTTTTTATGTGCTATTTTTCTAATGTTGGGCTAACGAGTTTACTATCCACCTCATGTGCCAGAACGATTTATTATCTTTATTCGCCAATCTTTCTCTTATGGGCTCATGAAACCAGATTTTCAATCCGCATAATTGTTTAACTAAAACGTAAGTTTTAACCTTGAACGCAGTCCAATCCTTACCACCTAACTAACTAAACTAATGCATCGGCAGTACCCCGGTAGGCAGTACCGACGCTTGGCTGCCACGCAACCACCATCGGTCGCACGTGCGCTAAAAATACAGCGAGGATCGCTCTGCCCCTACCCAGCTCGAACCTGCGCCATCAGATTACAAGACATCTGAGCTTCATCGAATTCCCCGTTTGTCCACACTTTGTGACCTCCCATACCAGATTGATCTGTGAACAGGGCTTTATGACTTAGTTTACAGTTTTCTCGTGTGAATTAAGGGCAGATAACTAGATTCTGCTTTTAAGGAAGTTAAGATTCTTAATCAAATACCTGCTGATGGTCCCAGTAGTTCCCTTTTAGCCTCAGCTTCCAGCCTACGTGCTCTTTGGCCTACTAACCGTTGTTTCAGCGGTGGTTCTGAAGCGATAAAGCCACTCTATTTACTTAACATTTTACAGTTTGTAAAGTAGGCTGGTGGTTCTTAATTAGCCTCTTCGTCGGAGTATACCGATGGCACCTTACCACTGCCACCGGATACATTGGCAGATTAACACGCATAAAGTCTTAGACGTAAAGTATTTCTGCAAGCAGATTTCGCTTCTTGACCGATCTGCACATATGCACTGCGTCGAGTAATCGATCCATCTACTTCTGCAACTCTGTTTCTTGTCATACTGTTTTTGGACATGAAATTATGTGCCCAGTTGGAAGCTCCTAGTCAGCCCCATTCCGGATATCAAAAGGTGTCTCACTTGCCGCGATGGCTGCGTTCAATAGTTAGTGACACCTTCAACTCTCCCACTTGATTGCGAAATTCCATCTTCTCGTTTTGCCAGTCGAGCACTCCCATCTTTTGCTTTTTGCTGTCATATGAATTGCGGTTGGTGTCACTGCGTCCATACTACTAAATGATATCCTGAGCCCATTCCGGTTGTTAGCGATGGGTTCGAACTGTTTCGACTCCATTTCCATTGGTGTTTTACTTTGTCTGCCTCTCTGTTTGCGTGACAGTAAGCATCATGCTGACGGTGTGAGATTTCTGATCACAGCTTACTACCCCAGGATTCTGGAATGGCTATTTACACGACTCATTTGCTAGCCTGTCTTTGTTTATCTCCCAGTCAACTGGGATTCTGCGTATGCGATGTCTGTAGCGGATAAACGCAAGCACGACACTCATTCTTGTGTCAAACGGTGTTAACGGCCTAAGCTGTTTTCTTTCCCGGAGTTCTCGTTTCGGGTGTGCACATTCCTTTCTTTTCAACATTCGACCGCTACTTACTTTGTGATCACTTTTGAATTACGTGTAGGTTTTAGTGTTCATTTTGCAGATTGCTATTCAACACGCCGTGACAATTTACCGAAATCTTTTCCAAGTGGCCGGCACGATTCGCCTTTTGGGATCATAATTTATGCTTCATTCTCGGGTAGCTTTGCTTCAATTCGCGTCATCTTATGACTTATGGTTATTACTGCTTACTGTCCTGGTGTGGTTTTCTAGTAGATTAGGATATTCACCCACCCGCCATTGATGTTCAAACCTCTGCGATTATCACACCGTACACTTACCAGTGGGTAGTTTTTTCTCACCTCGTTTCTCCGTTGTGGAACACAGTCCGTACAACGCGTGCTTCATAATAACCCTCCCGACAGCTTTAGCCTCCGTTTTTGCATTCTTTACTGTTTGTTACTTTTTTCTAGTGTTTGATGATGGAGATAAGAGGACACTTCGTCGCACACAACTCGTGCTGAAAGGAGAACGTCACTTCAAAGAAAGTGAGGTTGGTCTACTTGTTACTCTATTTCCATCATTGCTTGTTTTTTGACCATATCTTGCCATACCTATTCTTCATATACCGAGGTATACAATCTGCAAACGCTGGTTGTTCTTTCATACAACTCACTTAGTTGGTATGCTTTCGCTTCCCGATGCATCACCGAAGGGGTTCATTCGCAACTTTTTCGATAAAACTGAAGCTACAACGATTTGGATGCCTCTTCAACTCATTGCGCTGTATTGGGTGGTGTCCTCTGGCCCACTAGGTTAACTTTTTAAACTGGGATGGTACTTATTTATGTAAAACTGGACGGCTACTTTATTTTCTCTGATATATGGTAAGGTCTTTCGTTGAGGACTGATCGTTTTGCCGCCTAGGTTTGGACCCCATGGCAGTATCCCAACCCACTTTCAACACGGAATTTTCCACCTGACTTTAACTGCACCCTGCATGGGCCGCCATACAATTTCACCTTGCCTACTTTGTTCAATAGGGAAGATAAGTGAACGCACTCTACCGTTATCGCGTCGTTTCTTTTTCTACCTACTTTTTTATTAATCCCCTTTCGATCCCACATCAGTAACCTCTGAATTTTTACTAACTGGTTGGATTCCTGTGAACAGCCATTCTTGTTAAGCTCATTTGCAAAGTTTAAGTAAAGCTGGCAACCAGAGAAGCACTTGACGGCATTTGTTTGTGGTTTGTACCCAAGTCTGTTCGGTAGCCGGAGGGATAAGGTGTCTACGTTGCAACTCGAACGTCACCGATTTGAGCCTGCATAGGGGACCGGGGGACCTACGCACCATACTTAGTCCACGCGCAACTGCTGGTGGTTGCGTGACAGTGAAGCTTCGGTACCGCCTACAGGCTTACTGCTGGTGGCTTTTATACCCATGTCCGAAGCAACTGCGCCCATACTGCTGCCAAAAGCGCGTCTTACCACGAGCTTAACAGTACTTCACAGTGTCACCAATCCAGACCCATGTAGATGAGATCTTTGGGCTTAATTCCGATCGCATGACAATGTCGAGCGTTTATTGCAGCTGCGGGTTGAGCATCGGCTGATTTCTTCACAAGGCAATTTTCAGGCACGGTGAGTACTGAATGCTGTGCGGCTTTTTCTGATAGCTGGTTAGTGATAGATTCGAATGCATCTCATCTCTTTGAGCCCCAGATAGCGTGGTTCCGTCCTTACCGCCAATCGTTCTGGAATAGTAGTGTTGACTCTGACCATGCCATGATACGCCACCCATTTTTCTTGTACCTTGCCGGGAAGAGCTGCAGCATATAAGTTTGTCATAACGCCCTATGTACCATGCATTCACCCAATTGCCCTGCCAACATCGAGTTTCAGTGGACCCGCTGTTTCACCACCATACATGATGCATGACCTTCCACTCATTGTACTCCCAGTCGATATCATACTAGGTGTGGATTATCAGAATTATGGGTGAAGTTGCTCTCAATTATTTCATCGAGCACAATGCAAATGCACAGGCCGTTTAGCAGGAGATGAAACGTAGCTGACATCGAAGCCAGGATATTTAAGGGGCTCAACAAATTGGGAGGCAGGAGCGGTGGGCAACTACCCCAGTCTCTTCCATCAGCTCCTCACTGTTGGTGCCAGGATTTTGTCCGTCAGCGAGGCATTCAGGCACATCACATGTGCTATGATTCGCAATAAGGAATACCATCTGGCTCTTCTGGTGAAAAACTTTGTGGAGGCAGTTTATGTGGCCCCTTTCCACGAACTAATACGTCTCTTAGTTATACGAGCCGATTCTCGATACGTTTTTGCGGCCCTCGGATACACCCATGCTTTTCGTCCGGATTCTCTCGCGTTCGCCCTGTATGAGGATGTTTGTGGGGTCCTCTGAAAGTCGTTAATCCATCTATTGGAGCAGCTTTGCAAGCAAAAGGCCATTCTGGCCGATTGGGGCGATTGAGCCTTAGTGGCAGTATACCTAAAGAGCAGTGCACCGTTCATGCTGGCAGCAGGAACATCACCCTAATGCCAGTGGTGACAAAGTTCCCGGTCTCAATTTTTCACTACCTTACTGGAGAGGAGAACCCTGGATGAGAGAAGAGTAGGTCACTTTCCGTTCTGGAGAGAGTTGTAATGGCCACATTTGTACTCGGTGGCACCGTGACACGTGTCTACTTTCCCAAACGCAGCCGAACAGCACAGCCGTTTTCGTTACGGTGCTCCTGATTTTCTAGCGCCTAGTATTTTAGGGGTGGTGACGAGATCCCATCTAAAACATTGACTCCTCTATTCAAACAGGTGTTGGAAGGATAGGCTGCTTCAGCCAGCTGGTGGGAATCGACCATAGTCGAAATATACGAGAAGGGCAGGTAGTGCGCTGTTTTTGATACTGTGGGATGGGATTCCCGGATGGTAGATGAATAGGACGTTTTTCGATATTCAAAGTCCACATTTCATCTGGACCAATTTTTCTGCAACGTCATGCGGCTGTATGGAAAGGCGATCCTGCGAAGTATGTGGACATTATACGTGCTTTGCACGATAATACCACAGAGCACTTCAATTTGAAATGGTTGAGAATGTGGATGTGGGTATTACACTGCTCTCCTAACTGAAGGATTATTTTGCAGACCTTTTGTTGCCAGACTAGACGACATCGTCAGTGCGGCTTTAAGGTCCTGTTTTGCAGAGCCTCGTAAGCGACTTCGAGGTCTATGTGCTTTTGATCGAGTTCAATCAATAAGCGCTTACGTGCATCTGCGAAACAGGACCTTAAAGCAGCACTGAGGATGTTGCCTAGTCTGGCAGCGGAACATCTGGAAAATAATCCTTCATTTCGGAGAGCAGTGTAATACCTACAGACCACTTCAATGTCTACCGCTAGCTGTACGCGGCACGTGTACTGTGCTAGGATTGCCCTACTTTCTTTATTCCTTTTTATCATCGATGCTGAAATGGAGCGTTTCCTTGTGTGTCTTATGATGCAGGTACTTAGGTTACTCTAATGACATCCCTATAATGTTTGACGTCAGCAGTGAGGCAGTCAACTCCAATCACACCCTCCGTAGTGCCCTCACCCTTCGCATCTTCAAAATAAAAATGCCATTATAGCCATTTTGAATACATTGGACCTTGACGCAGTGCAATGGCTCACGCACCCCACTAGGCTGCGCTTGGTAGCAACCCTTGCAACTTCAGAGTCATTCATACCAGACAAGGGTCAGACACACCTTGTCTAAACATCCTCCTCGTCATAGATTGGGAAGAGATTGATGGCTCTTAGTCTTCAGAACGCGTGGGGTAACAGTGTGCGGGTTATCAGCTTGACTACATTTGCGCAGCGCACAAGTACCATGAGCTTTCTCTAGCGGCGGGACGCACTAACCTTGCTCAGTGGTTTACTGCCACCACTCTCAAGCCTGGCAATCTCTAATCAACAAGGTGAACACTAATCGAACCTCAGTTCCAAGCGATTGCCGTCACAGATCTATCTTACTATATGGTCGGAAACTATGCACGAATCGATCTGAACCTTCCAGGATTGTATGTGGCTGGGGTTCTTATTGGCGTGTTCACCGCTGCTCTACTCTTCAGACTGTTAGGCTGAGGGTTCCGAGTTTAGAACTCCAAGCTAACGTCTATTTATCTCACTACCTTTAAGCCAGGCTGTGGGCTAAAAGGTTGGAGATATGGCACCACGAATAAAACGCTCCTATCAAAATGCGCGACTAACGGGTCGTCCACCACCCAAGCACGGGTCACTAGACCCTTTCCTAATTTTACTTTTTTTCTTCCTGTGTTAGGAAGTACGAGAGTGCCACTGGCTTCCTAACAGGTGTCACAGATCTGACTCATCCTTTAGGCTAAGTTTCATTTCACACCGGTTACTTCGACATTGGTACTGTAGGTTTATATTGATCAAGTGGTAGCGCTAACCCTCAATCCGCACCCGATTGGAATCAAAGCGTGTTATGTCTCTCAAACAGCCATACAAGACGGTTGCATCATTCTGTCCCGAATCTGACTATCTGACGATAGTCTATGCGTCTCTGGTGATAAAACGGTGGTAATTTAAAAACTACAGTGTTGACATTATTCTCAGCAGAATTGCTCTAGGTAATCCACTCGAACGTATCCCTGATGCATCTCCAGTGGGGGTTAATACGCACCTTTTGAAGGCACTGTATTTTATCACTGTCTTTGATGTGCACCCCTCCAGCGGTGAAAGGTGCTTTCTGCGGGTAACTTTGATCCTTTATCAAGATGGTGATAAACCTGTATATCTTTCTGATCGCTGGTGGCATGAGTGCTCCGTTGGTTCACTGTCGAACTTGGAACGACGCATGGGAGACCTTTTCGGAATCGATGCAAATCGGAAAGGTAATTACCACCTGCTGCTACCTTACTGTAGCCTTTCTATCATTAGTAGTGTATTTTAGCACGAACGTTTACGTCACTCTAGCTGACAGCTATAAAGTTCACTCGTGGACCGAAATTGAACATGTAGACTGCTCTGTGTTTTGAACTCCTGTCGCGACTTCCGAGGTCAAATACGGGTTTACGAGAAACTGTCTGGTAGTTTCATACAATTAACAAGCTGCACCTGGGTTCTCCCATATTCCACCCCCTTTCGCTTTGTGACTGTGGGGGTTGGCCCAAATGACTATCGCCTCAACCTGTTGGATTGAAAGTTCTGCCATTTACCTATTGACCTAGTCTGTGTACGCGGACGACATGCCTCCCTTTAGCTCGGATCCAGTCTCCATATTCCCGCTTATGCATAGCTAAGCGCATGGCGCGGAACATTTCGTGATGTACTTCATACTGTCAAACTGTTGGGTACTGTTGTATGATATGGCAGATACACCACCCACTCCATATATCACCGAACCCTAACTGGAAGTGGTCTTTCGGTTCACTTATCCAAACAGTCGTATCACCTTTAGTGACTACATTGCCGCGAAGGTTGCTGCATGCATTTCAAGTCCCGTGTGGCACTCCAACCCTCACCTTTCCCCAACGTTTATGGAGACATTGTGACGTAAATCCTTCGGCCAAAGCCGGGGTTATAGCTTTATTGTAAGGATAATGTTACTGTGCGCATTAGAGCTGTGGCCGTTGAGAACTGAATACATTAAACGTTTGTTCGTCTTTGATCACCTGTGTTCGTGCAATGCTTCTCATATCTGATGGGAGCACTGGAGGGTAGAACTTCCAAGGTCCGATAGTTGGCGGTTAGAAATGAACTCTCTGGTATCGCGCTGGGATGTCGGCCAGCCTGTATCTGTTTATGTTAGCAAAGCCGTGTTCTTCGCGTAGCCGGTGACTTCCATCCTTGGCGCGCATTGATTCCATAACTAGCCCTATTTCGGTGGCCACTCACTGGCGTGGTAGAAAAGCGATACTTTCTGGAATGCATCCCTTGTGTTTTCTCATATGGATATTTCTAGATGAGCCGCATCCGTGGTTTATTCCTATCTCGTTGTGGTTCAGTCGTGTAGTCAGCAGTACGCATACGTTCGGTTTTACACATCCCCCCTGTTCTCTTCCCGAGTTAATATTTTTACGACACTTCTCCATGACCACATTTTGTTTACTTTCTATCTATCTTTCTAACATTCCACTAACTGATATTAACTTGCATCCTCCTAGCTCCGCTAGTTATGTCAACTGGATCCACCGCAGTTCGGTGCTCCAGTCACAGTTGTGTAACTGCACTGATCTGACACGAATCCTGCTTTCGCAGGAGCACTGCTCCTCTTCTGGCTGCTACCAATGGATTATTAACTTTCGCTGTATTCGACATATGTTACAACCGAAAGGGAGTTTTCGTTGACCGTAAGGACCGTGTTTCCATATCTACAGATAAGGCTATTCTTTGTTGCATAGATGAGACGGCATTTTTATCCTAAGACATCCTGGGCCTTCTTATCTTTACCAATCGTTGCTTCCTTATCCCCAACGTGAGCCGCACAAGTAAGTATTTAACCCACTGCGTTTTGCATACACCTTTTCTAACTTTGGGCGCATGATTTTTCTCAAAGGGTTACTATCAAACATTTGCACTTACCTTCTCTTCGCACTCTGATTTACCACAACTGAGTACCATTTATGTTTTAATCTGTTGCACCTTTCCTTCTCAACTTATCCCCGTCACTGTTCGTGTCGCTTTGTTGCAACTTCTTGACTCGTTCACTTCGGTAGATCTGTTTTCTCCCCCCCCCCCTCACTAGAGCCTTGATTGTTTGCCACTCACTAATCCAGAACAATTTCGGCAACCAGTGATTGACCAACGAAAGCATCGTCTGAGGTCAGTTCATTCTTCTCTCCATTCCCCAACTCTGTTGTTTTTTATTATTTTGTTTTAAGGCGCGGAAACCTTAACACCACTTCTCCACACAAAAGGTCTCCCCACTAAGGGGTCGAATGCAACTTGTCGGTAAATATGCAAATTTATTTATTTCTTTTAATCTATGAAGTTTTTCACCTGTAGCATATCAATGTGCTCCGTCTCAATTAACCAGACTGACTGAATCAATCTACAGCACAAGTGTTCCGCTTGCTTCAGTCAGCTTGCTTTCATCGATTGGCTCCACCGTTACCCTTTGAAAGCGCAGTCAGTCTCAGCAGTGTTGATCTAATTGATTAGGCGCATTTTTCATTCATCTAAGCGCAGTTTGTGCATTTTCTTCCTATCTGTTTGAGTGCTCTTATTATCATTTATCACAAAACGGCTTATCTGTCACCATTGCCGTCACTTGTGTGGCCCACCATCTCTCTTTCGTGTTTCCACTGAGTTTATTCATTTGCTTCCGTCAGTGCACCAGAGACATGCTCTGGCACTATCTCCTTCTTTATTCCATATCTTTCCTCCTTATGAATTGAGATCGCAGGTCAATGTTGGCTACATACGACAACGTATCGTTTGAGCATATGTGAAACTTCATCATCAACACCTGGTATCGCCAGTTGTTTAATGCCTGTGTACTCCCATCGTCGTCACGGACGTCCGCCGAAACGCATTCGCTTATCGGCACATAGAAGCGTGATTGAAATCCACGCTCGTGCTTCAAATCGAGCGGTAGTGTTGGACACAGCCTCTTCATCGGTAACTGATCGCGATGTGATCCATTTGCGTCCATGGTTGGTTGGAGGCTGAGCGCCATGTCATTATTCTGCGGGTGCTGTGTCAGAATTAGTGCTTACGAGAAATGGACGAGCCTTTTCACACAGATGTAGCAACCGTTCACCATTATCATAACGGGAGCCTACACTATGTCGGCAGCCTAGATAAGGCTCATCAGTGGACAATTGTCCAACTTAGGCGTTCACCTCACAGCCAGAACCACAGGATCCATACCTTTTCTTAGATGAAGGAGCGCGTTCAGTTGGTCATAGAAGTCATCTCTAGTCGAGTCCGTTCTACAGTTTGTGGACGCATATGCAGTAGTGACAAACGGACACCGTTTGCCTCATGCGACTTCGAAGCTTTGAATGAGCCGGCAAATCTGACAGCGCACATCTGGCTGTTGATTGCGATCCAGTCAACCAGGGCAGTTTCAGACTGGGGACTCAGAGCAATGCCCATACCATTTGCAGCTGCGTCATCTGCGGACAAGCGCAATAAGAAAGAGCCATCAGTGTCCCGTATGGGGAATCGCAGGGTAAGCAAGGTGCTCGATTGATATGTTCTCCAGTATTATGGCAACTGCTGCCTGTTGACGAGTCTGCAACACAGTGCACGCGTTGAGGCATGTCAGTCTAGGAAGGATCGAAAGCTCCAAATAGGAATGGGTGAACTGATGTTGCCGCATGATTGAACCTGGGCTTATCGACTGTACCACAACGGCGCCCTGCGATTGCGTGTGCGCGGAAACTACAGGACCATTGCCTATTGCAGCAATGTGGAAAGCTGAAAACAGAAGGTTAGAGGCGAAATTGGGAAGGGACGATAGGGATAAAGCAGATCAAGAGGAGGATTATGAAGACGGGGAGGTCTGTGCGTTAGCAACCTTACACCTATCCACCCTGCTTGATACGGCAGATAGGGCCCCGTCGATTACCTTCCGCAATGGCCAGAGCATCGAGAAATTGTTTTTGAATGAGTTCATTGTATTGCGTGGGCAACATACTGTCAGATTGCTCAGCGTAGACATTAGAACAAATACGGTTCATAACCAAAGTCTGGGTTTTTGGCACTGATCTGCATAGAATTCATTATTTTGAGTAAGGAGCCACCCTCACTCCAACTCCAGGAGACTGATATTATCTGGCATCTAACCACTCATCACTGGTATGAGTGACTGAAGGTGCAAAAACATCACCCGGCAGAACACACACCATGTTATTGAGACTTCTTCTTGTCTCACTGTTGTGAGCTAGCCGCTGCATCGACCACATCTTCACCTTGCGTCAATTGTTTTAGCACCACCATATTTATTGGCGACTCACCGCCGTCGTGTTTCTCGACCTAAAAGGTGCCTTCGACTCAGTCGATCGATGTACCATTTGGGACTGTCCGCTGAGGAATGGTGTGCCTGATAAATATGTAAACATTAGCAAAGCGCTGTACGCGCATAGTTCGGTCAAAATGAGGGTTTATGGAAAAGTGTCGCCACCTTTCAGTATCACCAGCGGTGTGAGACAACGTTACCCGCTATCACCTTTCCTATTTAACTTCGCAGTTGACTCAGCATTCGCTAGACACAACCTAGAAGGTGTGAAGCTACTTCCTGGTGAGCGACTTATTGACTTGGAGTACGCGGACGGTATTGCCCTAATCTGTGACAGCTCCCAAAGATGCCAAACAGCACTGGACCGATTAGCACTGGCTGTCAATCGTTCTGGGCTATGCTTTGTTCCATCGAAGTGCAAAATACTTCTCCAAGATTGGCAGGGACCCACCCCTGCGCTAGCGCTTTGTGGTTATCAGCTAGAAGTTGTTCAGGAATTCAAGTACCTGGTCAGCTATATAAGCGCCCGTGGGATCGTAGATGTGATTACGAACCTTATAGCAAAAGCTCGAGATGCTTTTGCCACCTGTGGCGCAGATACGACATCACTCTTGCCCTGAAGGGCAGTGTTTATAACGCAGTCGTCCGTTCAACTCTCCTAGATGGTTGTGAAATCTGGTCCATCAGGTCGACAGACATAAAGAGGCTCGTCCCATTCGATCATCACTGCCTTCGCAGCTTAGCTCATGTCTGGTGGGAGCACCGCGTGAGCAATGAGCGTGTTCGGCGTCGTGTATTTGGTGCAAGAAGAGCGCATGAACCGCTCAACGGCATTATATCACGCACCAGGCTCCGATGGAAGGGCCACGTTTTGCGCATGCCACCACCCCGACTTCCGCGACGTGCATTGTTTGCGCTTTGTGGATGCGTTGGAAGAGGAGGAGGGGCGGCTGAACGATGACTTGGTCGAGAGAGATGAAAACTCACACTTCGAAGTTGGCGTCGGTTGGTGCATCCCGACTGCCTGGCTGGGGGCCTAAGGACGATGAGCACTTTGGTTGAACACACTTGCTGATATGGCTGGGAGCCGGCCCCAATGGTGTTTGTGTTGTGAGTTCTTTTGTCCATTCCCCTACTGCTTAGCATCCCCATCCAATCACGGTCGCATTCGTTAGGCACAACATAACTTTTTGCGGCACGTTAGCCGGCTGTTAGCTCTCCGGAACGATGTCCATCCGTTACTGGGGATTCAGCCGACGTGCCACTGCTTTTTATCTTCTTGTTTGTTGTATTGTGGCACAATAGCTGAGGTGTTTTCCACCTGCATCTAACTTTTATTGGGTATGAATGAGCTAGCCACTTCGTAATCAGACTCACAATGCTTTACATCACTCTTCAAGCTGTTTTTTGTTTTAATGGCTTGAAAATTCCAATTTAAGTTTCGAGAACAAAAGGGCATTTGGTGAGCAATTGCATTCAGTGATTTATCATCAGACCATTACAATCACATGGTTGGCGGCATCCGGTTTCGGATTTGCTTGTCACTGTGGCCAGCCACAGGACGCCTGCGCCTACTGAGGGACCATGGGTGGCTTGCGCTGCACCACCCACAGCTCCAACCACACACCACATATCCAGTGTAAACCCGAAGAAATAAGATCGGGAGGCATGTGGATGGGAGCCACGTTTCATCAACGGAGCCGGCCCACAATCCTTCACAGGCAAACACAAGCACCCTGTATTTGGGGAATCCATCGTACACAAGGCGGTGGCTGGACCGTAGTCCGCTTCACACTGAGTGCATGGAATCACTCTTTGAGCCTAGCACGGTCACAAGGACCGTGCACCCCGTCCCCTCCAGCAACGACCAACTGTCTCCTAGAGCCAGTATGGACGAGGTAGTGGGTAATAGACAGGTAGGCACCTTGTCAACATGCACATCAAGTGCATCCACACCGGGATGTCGAACAACAGCCAATCACTTGAAATGACATTATCATATAAAATACATCTGTTAAAGCATACGACTATGCCGACATAAATCTTCGCTAAATTGCATATGAAGTAAGTTGGTAAGTAACGAATTCGCGATAAGTGCCAAATATCCACAAGTTATGCAAAACTGCTACAAACGCAATAGAGTTAACGAAGATAACCACAATTAGCATAGGCAACGTGGCCAGTTAATAGAAGATTATTCATGTAGGCAGAACAAACCAAATAAAGTGGAATGAAATTTATTCAGCATAAAAGACCTAGTTTAAGTGTAAGTTGGTTTGGCCCAATTGCGGTGAAGGAGCATTATAAATGCAATATCAGCCTCAACGTGGGGCATGCAAATGGAGCTAGATAAATAACATCGATCAGGTTAGTTCACGTTGCATAGATCGCGTGAGGGTCAGTTTCGGAGACGAAAAATCGCAGTACTCCTTGTTGGGTTAATTACGTGCTTCAAAATTTGACCTGAGGCAGTTGACCTCATTGTTTTCCGTTTTCGCTAGCTATGGAAGTTGTAGAGCCTAGACTAGTTTCTTCTGAGAGCCTAAGGACGGCTGAAACAATCGAATGCAAATCGCTTCGGCCGCCGCTAGTGTACCAAGGCGGTGACCTTTCGATCGGTGCACTATTCCAAAGGCACGTTTCAGATCCATCTGATGCCCTGCCTACCATATGGGTCGGAATTGACCTGCTAGTGGACCAATCGCTGCCTTGACATAAGCAGCTTGAGCAGTGTTCACTCATGCGCTTGGACAAGCGCCCCACCGTTCGATCGATATACGTTGCGCCACGGACGCATTCGAAAGTGTGATCCGCGGGATTTCCCGTATGTCATAATTCCCCTTAAAACCTTCTGGAC